AGGGGGGTGGACGAGGAGGGAGGAACGAGAAGGGAGGAGGAAAAGGAGGAGAAAAACGAGAAAACGAGCAGCAGCAGCAGCAGCAGCAGCAGGAGAAGTCGCTGCACGCCCGAGAGGGACCACCAGCGCAGGAGGTGTTTTCAGCACTGCCACTGGCATCTCCCGAGAGCTTGAGGAATTCCATGATAGACCCGCAGCATGTTTGAGATGTGGCGAGACTGTGTGTTCACAGCTGCCAGAGGCCAGCGCGCGCTCGAACAAAGCCCTTGAGCCCGTGTATCTGCGTCAAGATTAAGAGGGGGGTGGGGAGGAGGGGGAAGGAGGAAGTGTTGGATGGCTCCCTCAAGTGCTACTTGTCATTGGTTTACCAGCAAGATCCATGTTTGCTCCGCGCCGCTTCACCGAGAGCGCGGCGACCCACGGCCAGTCGACGGAAAGTCCCAGAGCTCGCGCGCAGGAAATTCAAAGATCAAGTATAGCCCGTCGACGGATCATTTTGCGGGGGTGCCTTTCGCTGAAAATTGTACAGGCGACGGCCACCAGGAGAACCCTTGTGGGCGAAGTCGCACCCTTGTGGGCGACCCCTCGGCCTGGGCTGGTTCGCGGGCAGCGCCACGGAGCCTATAAAAGGTGTGCGTTGCGTTCGCCTGCCTGCCCGCGAACGCCCAGCAGCTCGACATGTTGGCGCCGCGCCAAGGAAAAGGATGCGAAAACGGTGGGCATGCGCGGGCAGACGGAGCGCGGAGCAATATAAACCCAAACAAAGCACGATGTGCACCTTAATCATTCCGACGGCATTCCGCCCGACAGCACGATGTTGTTGGAGCTGCACACGGCTACGCAAACGAAGCTCGGCTTGCCATCTGCTTTGCGGAACGCAAGTTCGCTGCACCCTGTGTATGTAGAGCGTTTCAGGCCACCAACTGAAGAGCTGTCGCTGGCATGCGCGCCTGGTCTACGCAGACGCGCAGGCCTTCCAGACTCACCTCGGCGCCCACCTCAGTCACTGAGTTCTCGGACTCAAGCACGGTGGCGGCAGTGCGGCGATGGCGCATCCAGGCGCCATGGCTGAGGCAAGTTACGCTTGACGCGCTGGCGTGAAAACCTCGGTGGTCTCAGACGGTTTTGGCCGAAATGCTCACAGTTCAGGATAAAGCGCAACCGCTCGCCAGTGGAACTGATGCCTTACGCCAGTGCCACTGCGCCCGACAATGGAACCGACAGCTCCAAGAACGATTTGGCCTGGCTCAGAACCGACAGCTCCGGGTAAGCCTCCAGATCGCAACTAAGGATAGAGATCCCACTGCCAGCGCGCCCCCTTTGGAGTCGCGAAATGGAAAGCCTGCCACGCCCTGGCGGAGAGCCCCATCCCCCCCCCGGCGAACCCCCCGCGGAGTCCAGAAAATGTTGCGATTGCCACGCCCTGCGAGCTTGAGACGGATAGCGCCCCCACCTCTAGCACATTCCATTGGGGCCCAGGGAGTGCCGCGCCCGCCGCCCCCACCTCCAAGGGCGCCCCCTCTGGCGACGCGAAATGCCACGATTGCCATGCCCGGGGCCCCCGACACGGATAGCGACCAAACCCCATACCTAAATTTTCTGGCGTCCAGGAACTGCTTGCCACGCCCTCGGGGCCTGAGCCAGGTCGCGCCCCCGCACTCTGTGCGCCCCTTCCGGGGCCGAGCAAGGGGCGCACCTGCAAGGCCGTGCGAGCTTGAGATGGATGGCGCCCCCACCCCCCGCGCACCCCCAGCTGCGCCGCGAAACGCCACGCTCGCGACGCCCTGGGCCCCTGACAGGGATAGCAACCAAACCCCATGCCCAAACCTCTTGGCGTCGAGGAACTGCCGGCCACGCCCTCCGAGCCTGAGCCAGGCGGCGCCCCCGCACTCTGCACCCACACTCCTGGCGCCGAGAAAGTGGCGCGCCTGCAAGGCCTTGCGAGCTTGAGACGCATAGCGCCCGCACCCCCTCGCGCACCCCTCGTCGCGCCGCAAAATGCCGCGCTTGCCGCGCCTTGGGCCCCTGACACGGATAGCGACCCCACCCCGTGCGCAAGCCGTCTGGCGTCGAGGATCTGCCTGCCACGCCTTCGGAGCCCGAGCCATTTAGCGCCCCCGCGACACCCTGCACGCCACCCTCTGGAACCGAGCAAGCGGCACGCATGCAAGGCCCTGCGAGCTTGAGACGGATAGCGCCCCCACCCCCTGCGCACCCCGTGTCGCGGCGCGAAATGCTACGCCTGCCACGCACTGGGCCCCCGAGACGGACGGCGCCCCAAGCTGCAGCGCGCCCCCTCCGGCGTCGCGGAGGAGGCCGCGTCTGCCACGCCTGCGCGCCCTGGCAGCCCGAGGCAGAGAGCGCCCCCACCCCTGGCCCCTTGCCGGCGCCGCGGAAAATACACAGCCCGCCACGCCCCCAGAGCTGAGACGGAGCGCGCCCCCACCCCGCGCGCGCGCCCCTGGCGTCGAGGAAGTGGCGCGCCTGCCATAGCCTGCGC